AACAAAGTGCTAAATTGTGCAAAGTATAAATTCACTCAGTACTGTTTTTAGACACAACTTTTAAAAAGTAAACTCAACCAAAATGGATCTGGGGAATGCTATCAGGGAAATGCTGTGTGTTAGTTCCACTCACCTGTGGCCCTATTTGGGTAATGGTATATTTCTCTTATTGGGTTAATGTTTTGCAACTCAGGGGTTAATGGTGTATGCAGTATGCCTTCCCCCTGTTTGTGTCACTTTTCCTTGAGAAGGGATATAGGTAGGAGGAGATGGAGCCTTGTGGTCTGCTGGGGAGTAACAAGTGTGACCTAACACATAGAGATGTAGTCGTTTAACAAACAGTAAGGCTTGACCCAATTCACATCTGAACATTTTGTAGCTCGAAGCTCCAAAATTCTCGACATCCAAAATCCCATGGTATTCAATTGTGCCTGTTCACACCTGAGCATATTGACTTTGAAGGGAGCACCTGGAAAAATGCAAAAGCTTTAGATGCCCACAAAATCGCCTTAACAAAAGCTAAAAAAAAAAAAAAAAAAAAGCCTGTAAAAGACACTCAGGTCAAGTATGAATGCAGGCTAAAAGTATAAGAGTCAGGTGAAATGAGTCAGGGCTGTCATTGCTGGCCTTCTACAGAATAATACCAGCTAGGTGTCCATACTTTTTGAGTCACAGACCTAGAACAAGCATGCAATAAATAAGATTCAGATTAACTCCAGGCAAGCCGGCTTGAATGATGGGCAGCATGGGGGGTTCTTGTTTAATTTCTCATCAAGGATCTGCACAGAGTTTTATACGCTCTGTTCAGGTTCCTGCTAGTTCTTCCCCAACCTAAAAATGAACCAATAAGCCATATAGATTTTAGCAAGTTAACCTAATCTAGGATGGGGGCAGGAATAAATAGCTCAAATTGCTAAACCATGGCAACATTGGTGGTATATAAATATGTACAGGGGGTCCCATTTGTACTACTGCATGGAAAACTTCAATGCAGGAGTTACATATTCCATTATCTAAGAAAAATCCATTCAATTGTACCATTATATGGGAAAAAAATTCTATAAAAAGCCACATCTGCACACGTTGATCTCTTCCTTCTTATTATCTAAGCAGTCAGATCTAATTCTGAAGCCAAGCACAGAAGACTAAGTTGTTTATGATATGAGAGTGTAAAGATATTGAACTATCAGCTTCAATTTCCTCCAAAGTGATGGGGGAGGGTAGCCAATATCAGCCAGGAGCCAAAGTCCCCTTTTATGAAAGGTTAATACTCCCGGCCCAGCTGTCCTCCTGTGAGTGAATCTTTGATGCTCTTCCTCTGGTGGCTCTGAAGCAATCTACAGAAAATGTGAAGGCATTTACTATCGACCAGCTCTCCGCTGCTATCTGATTCCTCCGTCAGGGCATTCGACAGCTGAAACAACTCCAGACTCTATATATATATATATATATATATACATACACTATATATATATATATATATATATATATATATATAGAGTTGCAAGAAAAAGTATGTGAACCCCATGGGATTACGTGGAGTTTTGCATGAATTGGGCATAAAATGTGCTCTGAACGTCATCTAAGTCACAACAATAGAAGAACACAGTCTGCTGAACATAATACTACACAAACATTAGATGTTGCCATGGTTTAATTGCACATAACATGTAAACATTCACAGTGCAGAGAGGAAAAAGTATGTGAGGCCCTAGCCTAATGACTTCTCCCAGAGCTAATTGGAGCCAGGAGTGAGCCAACCTTGACTAAAAATAGTGTGATGATATTGGATGTGTTGCTGACAGCTGTCCTGCCCTTAAAAAACACACACCTGTTTTGGGTTTACTGGTTTCAAGAAGCACTGTCTGATGTGAACCATGCCTCACAGAAAAGAGCTCTCAGAAGACCTACGATCAAGAATTGTTGACTTGCAAGAAGCTGGAAAGGGTTACAAAAGTATCTCCAAAAGCCTTGATGTTCATGTGTCCACGGTAAGACAGACTGTCTACAAATGGAGAAAGTTTAGCACTGTTGCTACTCTCCCTAGGCGTGGTCGTCCTGTAAAAATGACTGCAAGAGCACAGTGCAGAATGCTGCATGAGGTAAAGAAGAATCCCAGAGTGTCAGCTAAAGACCTACAGAAATCTCTGGCACATGCTAACATTTTTGTTGACACATCTACAATAAGGAAAACACTAAACAAGAATGGAGTACATGGGAGGACACCACGGAGGAAGCCATTGCTGTCCAAAAAGAATATTGCAGCACGTTTGAAGTTTGCAAAAGAGCACCTGGATGTTCCACAGCACTACTGGCAAAATATACTGTGGACAGATGAAACCAAGATTTAGTTGTTTGGGAAGAACACACAACACTATGTGTGAAGAAAAAAAGACACAGCACACCAACATCAAAACCTCATCCCCACTGTAAAACACGGTGGAGGGAGCATCATGGTTTGGGGCTGCTTTGCTGCCTCAGGGCCTGGACGAATTGTTGTCATTGATGGGAAAATGAATTCCAGAGTTTATCAAGACATTTTGCAGGAAAACGTACGACCATCTGTCCGCCAACTGAAGCTCTGCAGAGGATGGGTGATGCAACAGGACAATGACCCAAAGCATACAAGTAATTCAACAAAACAATGGCTGCAGCAGCACAGAATACGCCTTCTGGAGTGGCCCAGTCAGAGTCCTGACCGCAACCCGATTGAAATGCTGTGGCATGACCTTAAGAGAGCGATTCACACCAGACATCCCAAGAATATTGCTACACTGAAACAGTTTTGTGAAGAGGAGTGGTCCAAAATTACTCCAGATCGTTGTGCAGGTCTGATCTGCAACTACAGGAAACGTTTGGTTGAGGTTATTGCTGCCAAAGGAGGGTCAACCAGTTATTAAATCCAAAGGTTCACATACTTTTTCCTCCCTGCACTGTGAATGTTTACATGTTATCTGCAATTAAACCATGGCAACATCTAATGTTTGTGTAGTATTATGTTCAGCAGACTGTGTTCTTCTATTGTTGTGACTTAGATGACGTTCAGAGCACATTTTATGCCCAATTCATGCAAAACTCCACGTAATCCCAAGGGGTTCACATACTTTTTCTTGCAACTGTATATATATATATATACACATACACTCACCGGCCACTTTCTTAGGTACACCTTGCTAGTACTAGGTTGGACCCCCTTTTACTTTCAGAACTGCCTTAAGTTTTTGTGGAATAGATTCAACAAGGTGTTGGAAACATTTCTCAGAGATTTTGGTCCATATTGACATGATAGCATACCGCAGTTGCTGCAAATTTGTCGGCTGCACATCCATGAACCGTTGAAACAAGGCAAGATGGATCCATGATTTCATGTTGTTTTTGCCAAATTCTGACTTTACCATCTGAATGTTGCAGCTGAAATTGAGACTCATCAGACCAGGCAATTTTTGCAATCTTCTGTTGTCCAATTTTGGTGAGCCTTTGTGAATTGTAGCCTCAATCTCCTGTTCTCAGCTGACAGGAGTGGCACCCGGTGTGGTCTTCTGCTGCTGTAGCCCATCCGCTTTAAGGTTCAACTTGTTGTGCATTCAGAAATGGTAATCTGCATACCTTCATTGTAACAAGTGTTTTTTGAGTTACTATTGCCTATTATCTCAAGCCAGTCTGCCCATTCTCCTCTGACCTCTGACATCAACAAGGCATTTTCATCCACACAACTGCCACTCACTAGATAATTTCTCTTTTCCAGACCATTCACTGTGCACCCTAGTAATGGTTGTGGGTGAAAATCCCAGTAGATCTGCAGTTCATATATATAAATAAAAGGGTAATACACTCACCAGCCACTTTATTATGTACACCTTGCTAGTATTGGGTTGGACCCCCTTTTGCCTTCAGAACTGCTTTAATTCTTCATTGAATAGATTCAACAAGGTGTTGAAAACATTCCTCAGAGGTTTTGGTTCATATTGACATGAGTTACTGTTGCCTTTCTATTATCCTGAACCAGTCTTCCCATTCTCATCTGACCTCTGACATCAACAAGGCATTTTCTTCCACACAACTGCCGCTCACTGGATATTTTCTCTTTTTTTTGGACCATTCTCTAGAGATGGTTGTGTCTGGCATCAAAAACCATGCCACGTTCAAAGTCCCTTAAATCTCCTTTCTTCCCCATTCTGATGCTCATTTTTAACTTTAGCAAGTTGTTTTCACCACATCTACATGTCTAAATGCATTGAGTTGCTGATATGTGACTGGCTGATAAGTAATTTGTGTTACCAAGAAATTGAACATGTGTACCTAATAAAGTTGCCGGTGAGTGTATGTATATTAAGGTTAATGCCAGTTAAAAAAGTATTGCAGGGTATGTTGGGCTGAACAACTACTACCTACAGTCACCAATACCTAGAATAATAAAGGATTTCAGGATTTTTATATCACTCCAAGAATTCAGAGGTGATATTTTCCAATGGCACTTTGTCTCCACTGGTCCTATTATACTCACAGCTGTTCTAAATATTTGGAGAATTAATTAGGGCATAAGACTCATCAGCTGGTATTGTAGTATTAGCATAGGTTGAGTGATACTGAAAGTTCTGGTGGGGATATCGCTGGAGTCTCCCAAGCAGTAGTGGATTGACCATTTGGAAACTCGGGCAGTGCCCGAGGGCTCGGGGTCAGTAGGGGGCCCCATGAGATGCCCCTGGTATCTTTTTCATAGGCTTTTTTGAGTTTGGGCAAGGACACAGGGGCCCCATGATCCCCTATTGCCCGGGGGCCCCATGAGTTGTCAGTCTCCCCCTGCTCCCAAGTTTCAACAAGTCAGCATGTGTGTCAACTTGACAGCAACCATACACAACTTTTTATTTTTTCAAAATTTGCATCAAATTGGGAAGACATACAATTTTGTGACAGGTCTTCGATCCCAGGTAGTCACCAGAGCAGGAGTACACAGGCAGCAATATAAACATTATCACTTCTAATCTTTCCTCATTTCTAAGTGTGTGCTTTGGTTTTCATCTGTGTCTTTGTGAGAGAGGAAATCTCCCCATCTTTCATTTTGAATGGCACCCCAATGCACTAAGGAAAAGCAGCTCAGATGCACATGCATTGCAGCACACCGCAAAGCTTGGTACAGCACCTCCGTGCATTGTATTTGGCTGCATCGGAAAAAAATGCTGCATGTACAGTTGCAAGAAAAAGTATGTGAACCCTTTGGGATTACGTGGAGTTTTGTATGAATTGGCCTAATAAAATGTGCTCTGAACGTCGTCTGAGTCACAACAATAGAAGAACACAGTCTGCTGAACATAATACTACACAAACATTAGATGTTGCCATGGTTTAATTGCACATAACATGTAAACATTCACAGTGCAGGGAGGAAAAAGTATGTGAGGCCCTAGCTTAATGACTTCTCCCAGAGCTAATTGGAGCCAGGAGTGAGCCAACCTTGACTCCAATCAGTGTGATGATATTGGATGTGTTGCTGACAGCTGTCCTGCCCTTAAAAAACACACACACCTGTTTTGGGTTTACTGGTTTCAAGAAGCAATGTCTGATGTGAACCATGCCTCGCAGAAAAGAGCTCTCAGAAGACCTACGATCAAGAATTGTTGACTTGTATGAAGCTGGAAAGGGTTACAAAAGTATCTCCAAAAGCCTTGATGTTCATGTGTCCACGGTAAGACAGACTGTCTACAAATGGAGAAAGTTTAGCACTGTTGCTACTCTCCCTAGGCGTGGTCGTCCTGTAAAAATGACTGTAAGAGCACAGCGCAGAATGCTGCATGAGGTAAAGAAGAATCCCAGAGTGTCAGCTAAAGACCTACAGAAATCTCTGGCACGTGCTAACATTTTGTTGACACATCTACAATAAGGAAAACATTAAACAAGAATGGAGTACATGGCAGGACACCACGGAGGAAGCCATTGCTGTCCAAAAAGAATATTGCAGCACATTTGAAGTTTGCAAAAGAGCACCTGGATGTTCCACAGCACTGCTGGCAAAATATACTGTGGACAGATGAAACCAAGATTGAGTTGTTTGGGAAGAACACACAACACTATGTGTGGAGAAAAAAAGGCACAGCACACCAACATCAAAACCTCATCCCCACTGTAAAACATGGCGGAGGGAGCATCATGGTTTGGGGCTGCTTTGCTGCCTCAGGGCCTGGACGGATTGTTGTCATTGATGGGAAAATGAATTCCAGAGTTTATCAAGACATTTTGCAGGAAAATGTACGACCATCTGTCCGCCAACTGAAGCTCCGCAGAGGATGGGTGATGCAACAGGACAATGACCCAAAGCATACAAGTATTCAAGAAAACAATGGCTGCAACAGCACAGAATACGCCTTCTGAAGTGGCCCAGTTAGAGTCCTGACCTCAACCCGATTGAAATGCTGTGGCATGACCTTAAGAGAGCGATTCACACCAGACATCCCAAGAATATTGCTACACTGAAATAGTTTTGTGAAGAGGAGTGGTCCAAAATTACTCCAGATCGTTGTGCAGGTCTGATCTGCAACTACAGAAAACGTTTGGTTGAGGTTATTGCTGCCAAAGGAAGGTCAACCAGTTATTAAGTCCAAAGGTTCACATACTTTTTCCTCCCTGCACTGTGAATGTTTACATGTTATGTGCAATTTAAACCATGGCAACATCTAATGTTTGTGTAGTATTATGTTCAGCAGACTGTGTTCTTCTATTGTTGTGACTTAGATGACGTTCAGAGCACATTTTATGCCAATTCATGCAAAACTCCACATAATCCCAAGGGGTTCACATACTTTTTCTTGCAACTGTACATATTTTAGTCTGTTCCAGTATGTTGACAGCCCATTCAAAATGAATGGACTGCCTTTACTCAACACATGTCAAAGTGTAATGTAATGCAAAATAGAACGAGTGTGTTAACACAGAAAAGGAAAAGTGTGAATAAGCTCTAAAAATTTCTATTTTGTATTGAATTTCACCTGAAAAAATAGCAGCAAACTTCCTGTATCTAGAGACATCCATTTGCCTAAAACATTATATGTGCAATGCAAGCGCATCTAAGGCAGTGCTGCCACTGACTGCTAGTTCCACGAGATTTGGAGTGAGATTTGGTGATGTCACAACTGTGCCATTCACTGTTCTCCTTGCCGGAGAAGAAGCTGTACCTGAGGAGCTGCAGTACAAGAATCTTCCTGCTTCATTCATTATATGGATCTGTGCTTCCTCTACCTGTTCTGCTATTTCTTCAATATTTCCTTAATAGATATCAGGGATGGGGGGGGGGAAGGTACAAGAGAAAACAAAGAGCTGTTACTCTAACAAGGTGGCATCCTCCACACAGAGGACCAGTGTGCGACAAGGCATTGTAAGCCATTATTGGAGAAATAATCTATAAATAAATGTTTATGTATGTGGGAACACATATAGTGTCAGCAGCAAAGAGTATATTGGAGCTGGGAGTTTGGTAATTGCGGTGAAGTTATTGTAAAAAAGATTATTAGAGAAAAAATCAGCTATAGGGTGAACACAAGCAGTATTGGTGACTAGTCATTTGCCCTCTGCTTGCCATTTTTGGGCACAGTTTACACGGTACATGTTCTCTTTAAGAACCTGACCTAAAATATTCAGTGGAGGCTTATTCACGCAAAGCAGAACAAGGAATGTAAGATTCCTGCTAACAGTAGCCAATTACGGTTTATTTGTAATTTTCTCAACCACTAATGTAAAAAAAAAAAAGAGAGAAAAAGGAAACCTATTAGTTGCTGCTTTTGCTCCACTCTTCGTAAATTTGCTTGTCAAGTTAAAATACTTTGTAAGCAGCACTGAAATAAACTTGGAGCCTCAGTAAAGAATCAAAGGACTCAGTGAACTTGAAGCCATAATAGTATTATTTCCTAACCAGTAATCTAATCTTTAGATACTGGTCAATGAACACAGATAATAAAATGTGTAGTATGATTTATGATAGAAATAGGCGGTGGATGTGTGCAGTGTTCTTCATCTATTCAAAAGCAAGAGGCAGTAGCCCGTGTCGGAGATTTAGAAAATGTCTGACTTCATGTCCCCAGCTAGTTAAGGTCCCTGAAATTATTATTTTTGGTTATTTCTATTTGTGACTTGAGATTTGTCCCAAGCCTTATGTTCTAAAAAAAAATGGTGTATTTGCATAACTGTGCTCAAAAGTTTGCAAGCCTTGGCAGAAACTGTGAAATTTTGGCATTGATATTGAAATGACTATGACTGATCGTGCCAAAAATCTGTGTTTTACTTAAGGATAGTGAAGCCATTTATTATCACATAGTTGTTTGGCTCCTTTTTAAGTCATAATGATAACAGAAATCACCCAAATGGCCATGATCAAAATTTTACATACCCTGGAATGTTTGGCCTTGGTACAGACACACAAGGTGACACACACGGGTTAACATTGCAATTAAAGGTTCATTTCCCACATCTGTGGCTTTTTAAAATGCAATTAGTGTCTGTGTATAGTCAATGAATTTGTTAGCTCTCACATGGATTCACTGAGCAGGCTGGATACTGAGCCATGGGGAGCAGAAAAGAACTGTCAAAAGACCTGTGTAACAAGGTAATGGAACTTTATAAAGATTGAAAAGGATATAAAAAGATATCCAAAGCCTAGAATGTGCCAGTCAGTACTGTTTACTCATGAATTAAGAAGTGGAAAAATTGGGGATCTCTTGATAGAAAGTGAAGGTCAGATAGACCAAGAAAGACTGCAGCCACAACTGCCATAAGAATTGTTCAGGATACAAAGAAAACCCACAGGTAACCTCAGGAGAAATACAGGCTGCTATGGAAAAAGACAGTGTGATTGTTTCAAGGAGCAGAATACGACAATACTTGAACAAAAATTAGCTGCATGGTCAAGTGCCAGAAAGAAGCTTTTATTGCACCAGTGCCACAAAAAGCCCAGTTACAATATGCCTGACAACACCCTGACACGTCTCACAGCTTCTGGCACATTGTAAACCAGAGTGATAAGACCAAAATAGAGCTTTATGGTCAAAACCATAAACACTATGTTTGGAGAGGGGTCAACAATGCTGATAGTGACAAGAATACCATCATCACTGTGAAGCATGGTGGTGGCTCAGTGATGTTTTTGGGGGGGGGTGAGCTTTAAAGGCATGGGTAATCTTGTGAAAATTGACCACAAAATGAATGCAGCATGTTATCAGAAAATAATGGCAGACAATGTGCTATCTATTGCATGACAGCTGTGCATGGGATGCTCTTGGACTTTCCAGCACAATGGCCCTAAGCACAAGGCCAAGTTAACCCTCCAATAGTTACAGCAGAAAAAGGTGAAGGTTCCGGAGTGCCCATCACAGTCTCCTGACCTTAATATTATCAAGCCACACTGGGAAGATCTCAAAGGTGCAGTCCATGCAAGATGATCTGGAGGCATTTTGCCAAGACAAATGGGCAGCTATTCCACCTGCTACAATTCGGGGCCTCATAGACAACTATTACAAAAGACTGCATGCTGTCATTGATGCTAAAGTGGGCAATACACAGGATTATGGACAAAGGGGAAGCAGACTTTTGAACAGGGGTCATTCCATTTGTTTACGTGTTGCCATGCTTTGTTTTATGATTGTGCGTGCCGTTCTGTTGAGCTGAATATGAATCTCATAAGAATTAAAAGAAATGTGATTTGCCTGCTCACTCATGTTTTCTTTAACCAGTTCAATACCGGGAAATTTTACCCCTTCCTGCCCAGGCCAGTTTTTCAGGTTTCAGCGCTCTCACACTTTGAATGACAATTGCACAGTCATACAACATTGTACCCAAGCTAAAATTTTATCATTTTCTTCACACAACTAGAGCTTTCTTTTAGTGGTATTTAATCACCACTGCGGTTTTGATTTTTTGCTAAATTAACAAAAAAAGACCAAAAATTTTGAAAAAAAAAAGTTTTTCTTTGTTTCTGTTATAAAAGTTTGCAAATAAATAATTATTCTTCATAAATTTAGGCCGAGATGTATTCTGCTACATGTCTTTGGTGAAAATAACCCAAATTAGGATGTATTTTTTAGTTTGTAGGAAAGTTATAG